TACAGTCTCCGTAGCCCATGCCAGGACCTCACTCAAAGTAGGAAAGACGGGCGACAAGAAGCAAGGCAGGCAAGAATCCCGATGCCCGTGTCCTCACTCCAGCTTCAAGCGGAGCAGCTGTGATTTGATCTATTTACTAAGCCACATGTGAGATTCCTTAAGAAAGGTAACCATTCTGATGGAACGATCTGGGGTAGCCATCAGGTTTCCTAGATCTACCAGGAGCTGTGTTACTTTAGCAATTGAACTTAAGCTATCTGCCCCAGTTTTCTCATCTGTAAAATGGAGGTAAAAATGTATATCCTAGATGAATCATAGGGTTGCAAAGATCAAATGAGAAAATGGGTATGGCTTCCTTTTGGAAGTTAAGCAAGCTCCACAAATGTCAGGCCCTATCACTTTCGGATGTTATCTTAGAAACCTGCTCCCTGAGTATATGCTTGCCAATCATCACATCCTCTCTTTTGGCTATCTTTCCTCTACACATGGAGCACTTTACTCAACTTCAACTTAAACATCACATATGAAGAAAAGATAAGCAGTAAGAAAATCCAAGTGTGTTGGCAATACTGCTGCATGTTAAAAAGAACTAGATTCATATTGAACTCCGTTTTCGTGGTGCATGACTCCCCTTTCCATAGGTTCTATTAACTTCAAAGGGAGCTCTGTGCATGTAAATGATTATATTTATTGGATGCGCCAACTCCTTCTTATCCTCCAGGCACAATTAGAAATATCATAGAAAAATGAATGTCAGACGCTTGGATCCATGTTTGGTATTCTGTGGGAAATTTCCCATAGTTACAGATGTTAAAAATCCTGCCCAATGGTCCAGTTATGAATCTGTAGTATTTCTTCTGTCATCTTTGGAATTATTTTTTCTCTGATTTTAGAATATTATTTTTTACATTAAAGGAAAAATATTCTCTTTAGTTCCAGATAAGCTATAGTGATAAAATTTTAGCTTGTTATACAACTTGGTATAGTAATAAAAATTTAGACAGTGTAGCTCTTCTCTTTCAAGGAACTTGTTAGTGCTTTCCTGAGATTCTATCATTAATACTTAGAGCAATTCTGTTCCTAGTTCAAGTTCACTCTGGGAACTGATGGTTGAATCAGTGTCTAGGAACTAAATTCCTGGACGCCCAGTTTAATATTATATCCACTAAACCACGCTGTGATTTCACTGTTCTTTGTAAGTTCAGGCCATTAATGATTCTTGTTAGTTACCTGTGAACTTGGGTTTTCTACAGTTGAAATTGCCACAATCAAGGAAAACATGGTAGTTGTGAGGAGAGCAGCACTTTTCTCACCAATTTATTGTTTGTTCTTTAAATTCACTTGTCTCCTGGCTCTTGGTGGAAGTGTCTCCAGAACTAATTCTGATAAACAACTTAATATCCTCACCTCGATTTACCAGTGACTGGAAGGGCCTTGCACGTTATGGATGAGGCTCCTTGGCAATATTATATATATTACACATATACACATAAAATCCAAGAGGGCAGGTTGACACTTTATACATTTTTGAGGTGACAAAAAAGAAAAAGGGAAAAAGCCCATCAAATGAAATATTTAGAGCTATGATGAAAGATGCAGAGATTTTTAATAATATTTTGAAAAGCAGTATGACTGAAAAAAGACTCTAACTAGCCTTATATATAAACAAACCATATCCACAAAGTAATTTGGATCTACTTTGAATTATTCGTAAGAAATAAGCAAGCAAAGATGGTCTAATTTTAGTAAATATTTATGGAGCAAAACAATCTAAATTATTATACGTAACAGTCAAATTTCTAGTGAAATGTGGGTAAGTAGGATTATTTTGAAAGGGAAAGTCCTACTCCCAGTGTCATAACCAATTAAATTCTCCAGGTAATGACCCCATTTGCATAGTGAGCGGAACCCACAAGTGGGAATTTTAATGGGTACACCACCTGAGTAGAATAATTGAGAGTGACACAACTTGAACTAGTTTTGTGCTTACCCCACTGAAAATTCTACTCATATTATTTTTAATGTCAAACTACAAGTCAAATTTCAAGATGATGGATTTGTTCTTTTTTTAAGCACAGAGTTTGAGTAAAAGAAATGCTTTAATTCTGTTATGCATTGCATATCTTTGCTTTAACTAATCTGTAGTTCTGATTCTCACCATTGCTTCATTTTCTTCAGTGATTGGAATTTAATTTTATTCATTAATTTGTGAATAATTAGATAAAAAATAATGTTCCCAGCAGTCAAATTGCTTTTGGATTGCAATTTAACATACTTTTACCAGAATATGTATTCTACTTAAGGTGGCATAATAGTTTACTGAATGTAATTGTGTAAACATGCCCAATTATCCTTTCTGATGATCTAGGAAAGCCTAATAGGATATGTATCCATGGGTATTTCCTCCACCTTCACCTCAACATCAGTAAGACACAGTTCCTACAGAGCTGATCAAAGACGCCTTGTCACCTGAATGTGTTAACTTTTAAAAGATACTCTCCTTCTCTCTCAGACACTATTCATGTCCTTGAAAGAATTGTGCATTCTGATTGAGGGATCATATGACATCCATGTTAAATTAAATAATAAAGGTGATCTCAAAACTCTAAGAGTCAGACACACATGACGAACTGTGCTTTCTAGGTTTTGAGATGACATTTTAAAACTTTTGTTTCACTTGAAGATTGCTTGAGATCCTAAAACTATTGGTGGGTGTTTGACACCACTCCGCCACATCTGTAATTGGCAGAACATCCAGCAGACAGGCTCTGTACATCTTTACACTGCAACCTACCAAGTTAAGAAATGTATTGGTTCAATATAAAACAGCAGGCTGTTTTTTAGACATAGTTACTAGTGCACAAGCTTTAATATGGCTTGGCTTCATCCTATAATGAGATCTTTTGGTTCCCTGCTCAACAGGCTTTTATTCTTTTGCAAAAGGCTATGAACTATGTCAAGTGGATCAGCTGCTTTTGTACACCCTCTTTCTTGGCTTTGGAATGTAATTCTTTTGCTTCTGTCCCTTTATGCATCAGACAGAACTTAAGAACCTTTTTAGTTTTTCAAGCTAAACTTAGAATTTGTTTGAATTTGCTTTTTGCTATTTTCCTAATAATTATGTTCTCAATGAAACCTCACACAAAGGCCTGCCTGGAACTTAACACTTAATTGCAGAGCTATACTCTTACACATGTGTCTGTACCCTACGTTGGTAATGTGTCAAAGGATGGTGATCTAGCGTGATTGCTTTCTGGTCACCTGGCAGCTAAATTCAGGATTCTCATTCCACGGCACTGAGAAGGGGATCAAAGGCATAATAATGGACAAACAATGGGCCTAGAACTAGTAGCCACAGTTTCTTTGGAAGGCAGGAAACTACTCAAGCTGACAGTTGGCAGCTTATGAGCTGTAGTTGTCGCCCCAATGAAAATGGCACATTGTTGTTCCAGTTTGAAGAATGGGGTGGTGTAGATTTCTCTGAGACTAAAGAGCCTGTTTTCTAGGTGGCGCTCATCTGTGGCTTTGCTTATGATCATTCTCACCTCCAGAATATCTACTAACTTCATTAAAATGTGATCATTTACATGAGATTTTGAGTCACAGTCCTTCCAAGCAGAAGGAGCAGCCATGGTTCTTTGGAAGTTTGCAATGTGAAGATGCCTGCTGGTGGGTTAATCACCAGTGATGGCTTTTGCACAAACCCCCCTTCACATTCGGGCTGCATCATTATGCTGTCCCCTCTTCACAAGCCCTTCCCTGAGAACCAGAATCTCTAAAAATAAATAAGCAAGAAAATACCAGCAGCTTCACTGTGAGAATTAAATTTTCTCACCAAAAGTGCCAAACTCCGTTCCCAGACTGACAGTACTGGAGGGTTCTGTGGCCCCCATGAGGTGCTGAAAGCAGTCACTGTACATGTATTGGTAATGGGGCGGCATGGAGATGGAGGATTAAATGGACTCCCTTGGAGTAAAACTCCTTGATTAAAAAAATATAATAGTAAATGTGGAATAAACACTATGAATACATTGACCACTGTTTAAAACAAAAACGGTATGTTTTACTTAATGTAAAAGGGAAAGAAAAAATAGGTATTGCAGTAGTTGATGAAACTTTATCTTGCCTGTCAGATTAGATGTAATAAACCTACAGGCCTGCAAATCATGAACAATTGGGAAGGGCATAAAGGTCTTGAATAATTTGAAAAATAATCTTATTAATAAATAACTTATTCATTAGGTAGGTGAGTAAATCTAAGCATTCAAACTGGAATTCAAGTAGACAAGCCACAAAGACTCTGGACTCAATCTTATTTATATTAGGCAGTGATTTGATGTTCACAGCATTAGAATCTAGGACACTGATGGAGTCTGTATGTATAAAGGGGAAGTTATTACATAAGGTTACCTTGGTTACTCCTTGAATTGCTGAGAGAACACTGAGTGCTTCAGGTAAGGGAAGTGGATATAGTTGATATACTGTAAGAATACAAAAATAAAATTATATTCCTAAATAAAAGGCTTTCTCCTATATAAAGTGATTGGGGGTGGTCGTTGAATATTAACTCTAAAACATCTCCTACTAAAGAATTGTGCCATTAAAAATCCTAGATGAAAATACTTTTGATGACTTACCTTTGGGTGAAATTCATTAAATCTAATACCCAATTTCATTGATCTTTCATGTTAATCTTAGAATATATTAAAAAAAATTACCTTAATTTTTACAAGTTGGGAGATAATTCCAAAGCAAACAAACAGAAACAATTTACCGAAACCATGTACGAAACTTGCATTTTGATCTATTGTGACTATTTTAAAAAACACTATGTTTTGAAATCATATGTCAACTATTACTTGCAATGTAAACTGATCTGAATCTTTCATAGTTCATTTAAGGATGTGAGTCATGTGATTTTACATAAGGAAACTAGAAAGGGATGTATCAAGATAATCTCTTCAAATATCAGTATCAATTAGAAAATATGCTACAGCCCAACAGAGAAGTTATGTTTTTTTAATTTCAAAATAATGTTTTCAGGCTAATACAGGATAATCCAGTTTTAAAATATATAAGATTAAGTTTCCACATTTAAAAAGAGACCAAATCTAAAACTGTAAACTATAGTACTTAGTCATGATGGTCATATAACTCAGCAAAACATTGTCCATACAGACATGCTAAAACATATTGGAATGATTTTCACATTTATTTACTTTTTTTTTCATATTAAAAAATCATATAAGGTACTTTATGGAATAACTGCAGAGTAGACAATGGAGGAAAACTGAATATAAATATGAAAATAAAATTCTGCTATCAGCTAATATGTTCTCTGTTACAGAGAAACATTATTTTAAAAGTGCTAATATTTTCATTGCAAATAGTAGCAGAATATATTTAAATATTAGACAAACCAGTTGGTTGAAAAATTTTGCAGGATACAAGTGAAATATTTTAAAAATTACAGGTCATTGGAAGGCTTTATATGTTAGTACACTGATGAATACTCTTACATTCTAATATATACGCTTAAGTTAACTTTGGGTATATGTAAGTATTCAGACTCTGGTTACTATGAAATAGCACAAAGATGATCTCATAGTTGATGTAATAAATGAAAGATGATCTTTAGACAAGGAGGAAAAAGACAGCTGTTTACTAGAATTCTCTTTAAACCCGACATTTAAAGTGTGTGTGTGTGTGTGTGTGTGTGTAAATAGCACTGAAAGGGGACTGAAGAGTTTGCTATTTTCTTCTTTCTTAAGCCCATCAAACAATGGTATAAGTAGAAAGTAGGTTTCGTAACAAAGGAAAAGTCATAGGTGACATTACCATGCTTTAGGTTTAAAATCTTTCTTAAAAGGTTAGGTTTGCTAAAAGTTTCCTAAAAATATACATTTGTTTTTATTATCAGTTTGACTTTCGACCAGAATAATTGAAAATAACTATTAATCAATCCAAAAGTATACTTTGAAAATTTCTACAAGGAATTACAGTAAATCAAACCAAACTATAATTGGGGGAGATCAAACTTAGAAGAACAACATAGTACGAAAATATACTTCCCCTTTCATCTGCACCACACAAAGTCTCTATGTCTTAAAAAGTATTGACTTAGTCTTCTAATTAACAGACTTATTTCTTTGTGCCTAAGGATCTTTATAACCAGTCATATTAGCTTAATTTAACATAAAACTGCAATAGTAAAATTTGGTCACAGTAGTGGATGTCAAGATTCCCACTGGCTTAGGAGGAATTGTCTGCATTTAAGATTAAATGTGTTTATAAAATATAACATTGGTTAAGAAACAAACCAAAACAACCAACCTCCCTCCCCCCCCACAAAAGACTTAAAGCTCTTTAAAAAAAAGGGAAGCTTTTGAATAAATCAAAATCAGAATACTGGACTTAGAATATAAAAGTCTCCCAATTTAAGTGAAATTTGTCAAAAGTATTCCACATTCTTCATAAAATATATAGCTATTTTATAAGGCATTATGTTTTCTTCAAAAACTAACATTTAAATTATGAGTAAGAAAATGCGCACTTTTGAATTTTGTAGTTAAAAAAAAGCTGCATTCCTGCAACTAACAAAAATACATAAGGCTTTTTTCTTTTAACTGCTTACAAGCACACACAGTTCAGGCTATCCACCTAAAACTTGTTCTTAAATCTAATTCATTCAAGCAGCAGATGAAACACTCATCCTAAGAGGCTTCCTGAAATGTCACATTCTCCTTGAAGCCTTCTGAATATTCCAGTAGACATTAGCTGTTCTTTTCTGTGTATTCCTATAGCCTTTGGAGTTTCTCTCTCTCATAATCCTCACTTCCGTATGCCTTGTGGAATGGTTCACTCTTTACAGAGCTCTCTCCTCTGCGAAACTGTATGCTCCTTCGGATGGGAGCAGAATGACATTCATCTCTGCATCCCAGCAGGAGATTATACACGGCAGGCACTGCACGGCTGCCGAGCAAGCGGGGAAAGTGAAGAACAGAGTGTGGGCGTGGACACTGGGTGCCCAACTGGTGTGTGGGTTTGTTTCCCAAAGTTTACTTTAAAGTAGAGAATGCTTACTTTTAGCCATTAACAGACATCACATTGTCTGGTTTAAATACCCACTGAGAAATACTGCGTTTGGAGCCAGGGGCTCCTGAGAATGGTTAAAAGAAACAGAAGCATATGTAACAAGGAGAAGTCATTTACCATTTTCTTTTGTCAGAATGTCCCTCAGTCACTGTAACCTCTTAAAGTTTAAAAGCAGTTAAAGTTTCACATATTAAACCATGTAAATTTGGTTAGAGAAAAAAAGGTTTTCAGAAATTAATGAGTGAACAGTGCAAATACTGGGTTGCTTCATGAGAATCTTGCCATGTGCTTTTCTTCCCCCTTAAAAAAGAAAAATGTAAAACACTCCAGTTTTAACACAAACAGAAGATAAATATTTATGAAGGGAAACAAATTCCACAGCATTCCATACAGATTTCCAAACAGTCTGATGATTCACAACAGGCATCCATGATGCCACAGTCCATGTCACAAGGGCAGCTACAGTCGTCCCCCATCTCCTCCCCACAGCAACAGCAGCAGGCTTCTGAGGTGCAGATGCCGCATGCAGCGCGTCCCAGGACAATGTTGCAGAGCGTCAGGAATTCACAGAACAGGCAGGCCAGGATACAGTGGACACAGCAATCTTCATTGCCAGTTTGGAGACCACATATTGAAAAAGGGAACACAAAATAGATAAATCATCAATGGACTGAGCAGTAAGAATATCAGAATAATTCAGTGATCCAGAACCCCATGACATGCAGTCCTAGAAGGCTGTTATGAGCTAGAAGCTCAAAAAGAAACACGTTAGGTTGTAGATGAGCAATCTTTACAAGTAGAGAAAGCACTTAAAACAAATGGTGGCAGTGTGTATGCCGGTGTGGGACAGAGTATTCCTCTCAGGCGCTGTGCAGCAGTTCGTGGTCCCAGGCTCTACTTGGCGGTCACTCTCCTCTCCCCTATATCCTATTGTGCTCTCTCACTTAAAGCTAAAATGATTCCGTGACCTGAAAGTCCTGCAGGAACAGGTTATTTTCTTCAACTGTTCTACCCACCTCCAAATTTGGAAGGAAAAATTTTTAAGTATGATGGATTCAGAAGTTAAATTGGGATCAACCTATTTTACTGGAAAGGTTTTCCAGTAAAACTAACTCAACTGCATGGTCTTGAAATTTTTTGGTTTCCTAAGAATTAGAAAACCAATGAGACTCTCTGGTTAGGCCCAACCACTGTTTCTGGAATAGTTCTTCTGCCTATTTCTAGCAAAGGATTTGTACCTTAGCAAATATGAATAGTGACACAGTGGCATTGCCTTCCCACTTCCTGTGTGACCAAGTGCTTTATATTTGTTACTTCCTGAGACAATGCTGATGATGCCCTTTTAAACATTTACCAAACTTCATGAATCAGTATAAAAAGATGAGAAATCGAACAGATTTCCAATGTAACACATTTAGTATACCATCTTCAAAGCTCTTTCCTTTAGAATTTTGGGGCAAGTAAGAGGAGCAAGTAAAGAAATTTCTATTTCGGGAGGACTTTTAATATCTGTAATAAAATCACTTAAGACCAATGTTATAAGACATTTGTTGAATTTCAGAAATATTTGTGAATTTTGACCAGGGTTATTTCTGGGTTTATGTGTTTTTTGTTTGTTTGTTTTCACGTATATTTTGTATAATGCAAGCTTTCATGAGGGTATTCTACTTCCAAAAGCCCCCAACCCCATCTCATATGTCTCTTTGTGTTTCTATATTTGGCTTTAAAAGTGAGTGCCTTTGAGAGAATTTCAGCACATTGTGTCATGGTCTCATCAAATCTCCCCAATTCCTTGAACATCTCCCTGTTTCTCTGTAGTCTCTAACTTTGTAGAGTCCCTACCATTGTAAAAGAGGGAAATGTGGAAATACAAGGCCATACTGCACATACCAGATGGCAGGAAGGGGGGAAGGTCAGAACAGAACTCGGAAGGTAACCTCCATGGTCATTCATAGAATTAAAGGCTAAAAGAATGCACCCAGCTTTCCTTCTATTTTTCTCAGTGTCAACCCCAGTCCCATGTACAGTGGTCTAGGGAGCAGCTGGAAGCTCATAGAGTTGTGAGAGTCCGCAGGGTGCCTCCATCTTCCCCTAATGTTTTCAGTAGTATCCAATCATATCAGGAGAATGCCAAAATCAAGTACAGGAATCCAGGTCCATAGCCTTGGAAAATTCTGGGTTTCTAAAGAGTGTCTGTGGTTTCTCTCTTTCTATGTTCTTTCTATAAACTTTTATTCTAAAATCTCTCTTACATGTCTGTTCAGTTAAGGTTTTCCAGGCTTTTATCATGATGATTTGTAAAATACTTGAAATATTCCAAAGAGCTAGCTTTATTAAGAGAAAAGTAAATACAGCAAGCCAGTTCAATTCAATTTGCTTTCAAACAAATACGTATATTAACCAATTCTAACACTTCTGACCTTAACTTTCTATTCCACTGTGGAATGCCTGTATTTCAAAGGATGAGTGGGAGAATCTACAAACACTTACTTGATGCTGAAGAAACTTTTAACTGAGTATTCCTAAAATCCTAAGAATAGTTATTGAGCATTAGATTCTTTATGTATTAATCACAAAATACATCATACATAGAATTTTATGTAATGGATGTATCAATTTTAAAGGAGAAAGAATGGTCATCCCACCAAGACTTAGAAATACAGGGTTTTATCTTTAAAGCCTCTTTTGGTCCCTAAGTGTGTCTTCCTCTCCCAAGATATAATCACTGACTTGAATGTTGAGTAAATCGTTCCCTTGCATTTCACTGTATTTTTTACAATAGTGAATGTATTAATACTCTTATCAGGAAGGAAACAGTACCATATGAATATTCTGTGAGTAGTTTTTTTGCACAACATTGTGTATCAGATTTACCCTTGTGGATTCATATATATATAGTTCACTTACTTTCCAGGTGTATAGTATTCTATTATTTAATAGACCATTATTTACTTACCCATACTATTTATGAATATTTTGGTTATTTCCAGTGTTTTCATTATTCTGAACATTACAGTTAGAAGTAGTCCTCTGCAAGTCTCCTCTAGTGCACACACTAAATGCCTGGCAGAACCGCTGGGTAAGAGGATATGCAAACGTTTCCAAAGTGATGCTCCAGAGCTCACTCCCACCCACTGAATACGAGAATGCTCACTGTGCTGCACCTTCGCCAATCTTTGAAACTGTCCGACTTTCACAGCTACAAATTAGTTAACTGTGAAATAGCGTCTCAAGGTGGTTTTACTTTGCATTTACTTATTTACTAATTAAGTTTAGACATCTTTATGTGTCTGTTGGCCATTCATGTTTCCTCCTCTTTAAAACGGGTGTTTATTGAGTTGCCTTTTTTTTTCTTACTGATGTGCAAAAGTTCTTTATATATTCAAGATGGCAGTCCTTTGTTAACTGTGATCGTCCTCTCTCAGTATGTGGCTTTTCTTGATTAACATGGGATAGGTGAGTTAATTTTTAGACTTGAAGAGCCTGCCGTGATGAAGAAAAACGCAAATCCAATCTTGTAGTTGGCTGGAAATGTGGGATTACACGGCTGAAGAAGTGAAATGGCAGGTAAGTCAGTGAAAAGAAGAGAAGACATTAAGATTTAGCAACAGGAATGAAATTAAAAGGTTGAGTGTCCGATGAAGGGAGGCCAGCCATGCCTACATACAGAAACGGAGAAGAAACCAGTAAGTAATCAGGAGTGAGAGAATAAAGGTGTTTGGTATGAAACCAAAAGCCATCAGGATGAAAAGGGATAGGGGTGATATTCTGAACTAAACAACCCATTTGCTGCTCATAGGATGTATCTGTTTGAAAATTAAAACCTCTTCTAGATCTTAGACAATAGTGACAGTGGTCATACAGAAATTAGGAGCCCTAAGCCAAGAAAAGACTCTCTCCAAACTGCTACCTTTAGCCAATGAGATTTACAAATTAATTTAAGTCTGTCAAACTGTCTCTGTACTTTTAGTAAACAAAGAGGATGAAAATTTCTTAGTTCTTAAATTGAAGAAATACTCCTTTTCTAGATCAAATACTCCCTTTCTATCCTATGTTGGAATTTCTATAACTAGTGGGTAGGAGTGGTTGTTTTACACAGAATGGGAAGCCTAGCATTAATGAAGGAGAAGTATTTATTTGCTGTTTTCAGAATTAAGAAATGTTAGGAGAAATGGTTTCATTACTATTTCATTTCTAAAAAGCTATTTAAGAAACTTACTTTGTACTAAACCCTGTTTTAAGCTGTTTACAAATAGTAATTTCATTTAATTCTAATAATATTCCTAAGAAGCAGTACTGGTACTATCCCCATCTTACTAATACAGAGACAACTGACAGACATTTTATGACATTTGTTCCAAGTCCTGGAGGCAGTAAGCAGCAGAGCTAGTGTCAGAAGCTGCACCATCTGCCTGCGCGGCCCGCGCTCTAATCCAGCATGTTGTGTTGCCTCTGGGAGGCGGGGTCACTTCTAACAGTTGGTTCATCTTCCATGGGGGAAGATCAGTTATGAATCCAAACCTTTCTGCAGATTTGTTTTGCTGATCTGTCTGTTTTTAGCTTTGATTCACGTTTCTCTTCCTTTCTGAAGATGAGATTTTGAATTTTGGTTTTAAAAAAGGGTTGATAGTAAGTGTTAACCTTCAACAAGTAAGAGTAAGGTTTATGAGTTGGAGAATTGATAAATGGCCACTTACATTGCTGAAACAGACATAATAGGGTAGGCAGCCAAGGGACAGATAGTGTCTCAATCGAAAGAAACAAATCTGTGAATTTAAAACAGAAAAATTAAGCTCCATAGTTACATGAACAAGAGCAATATAGAGATTACATAGGAACGCTAGTGGTAAACATACAGTAATGACGACAGAGGTCTCAAAAGAATAAGGTCTTTATTTACACATTAAAACATACAAAAAATAGACATCCTCTTTAAAACATCAGTCCTACATAATTTACTAGAAAAGTGCTTTGCATCACTCTGAAAAACCAGATGTATTAAGGGGGACAGGCACCTTAAGAGGCCACAAACCAAGACGTATTTCAGAGACTAAAGTGACATTAAACAAGGCACATTTACAGAGACACCCACCAAGAACACAGTCATTTTCTGTATTGTATAGAGAAATACCTGGACAGGACAACAAAAAAAGAAAAAAATGGATCCCTAAATTCTGTCAAATCAACTTAATGATCTGATTTATATTCCTTGCCAAAAACATTTTTCTTCTCAGATGTGTTCTAGAAAGAGTAATCTGAAATAAACGAAGAATAGCTGTTACATTTTCTGCCACTACTACCTCCACCATGCCAGAGACATCAAGAATCATAAAAGGCATTAAGATGTTGGTTTTATTGGAAGCAAAGAGAGGATTATAATTAATATCAAACTAAGAAGAGGTGGGGAAACTTTCAAGAAGATGAGTCCTCTGCATGCATGTAGTTCACTGTCAGAAATAATTCTTTTTCCCCCTGTTCTTGAGGTTTTTAGTTTTTATGGTTTTATTCAGTCATGTTTGCAGTTTTTGCCAAAGTGTTTAACCTTTGAGAAGCCAACTAGGTTCTGGGAAGGATGCCTGTCCCAAACTGAGCCAAGCCAGAATTGCACAATTCAGTATAGTATTGAGAGGAGAGAGCTTAGCACAAGCCTGACAGGTACTGTAAATTTAGGAAAACACAGGAACATCCCAGCAGCCAAGTTAAGTAAAATGAAAGCATAAGAGGAAATCTTTAGCACAATGTTTGATTTAAAAGAGAAACAAAAACAACTTATGAACCACTGCAGACATAAACCCAAACAGAAGCTTTGAATGCTATGAAAGGTCAGCAGTGTTCCATGCATGCGGCTGGCGTAGCTGGACAGTGTCCAGCTTCCTGATGCCATAGAGGTAACAACTGAAACCTACTTATATTGACTGGTAACAATGTTGGTGGCTAATCCACAGGACTTTGTTTTGATTAAAATGAGACTGAAGATACTAAATTATCTACATGTTAGTTTAACAATGAAATTATCCCACACTGATTTACCCAATCACATGTGGCCAGAAATGTTAAGAAAATATGAGGAAAGCAGTTTGTTATAACAAAAGGACCTCTGCCTAAGAGCCATCAGAAAACTATTCACATAGTAAATTCAACTCTATTCTAAATAAGTCTCTTATATTTCTTTAGTTTCCTTCTTTTAACATGTGGTGTGACAAGTGCTCTGAATTTCTTGGAACACAGACACCAAAGAGCAGAGTACAGGGGAGGGCAAAGAGTGGTGAGTTCTGAGAATAACCCACAACCCATTTTTGAGCCCACAAAGATTTGCATGCGCTTTATTGGAGCTAATCTCTAATAACATTTCCTATGACTTAAAATGCCTGAAATACTTTCTTAGTCAGGTTGCTGTCACCTCACCTATAAACTAAGCAGCGAGTTCACACCCATGGTTAACAGGCCGACAGTATGCCCACACACAACTGCGGACCAGAACATGAGCAGTCGGTTATGTGGAACCAGGAATTTAGGAAACAGCATCAAAGAGGTCAAACCTGACTGTACCTTTACAACCAAAGCTGCAGAGAACCCACAGGTGTCCCCATGTCTTTAGCCTCTAAGGTTCACATCTGCCCGGTGGGCGTACAAGGGGAATCACGGTGCAGAGGAAACCCAAGCTGGGTGGAGGCATTCTTCTTCCCAGATCCTGCTTTATTGTGACTGTTGTCTGTCAATACAAAGTCAAAAAGCAGGCTCAAAGTGGGTTTTGGTCATCCTGAGTTGCAGCCAGGATAGCTAAGTTAGTATCTGGTCTCTGAGAAGAGCCAGCTGTGAGGGACAAGATGCAGACATCTCCAGGGAGTTCTGCTCCTCCAGCACTCCCAGGGCCAGGAAATATTCACTCATACAGCACGGTAGCTCTCCAAGTAGCTCTGCGTGTCCCAGCCGGAGGACACAGAGCATTCTGGCCCACAGCCCTAGAATGACCTGCTGCCTGCACAAACTGGCCTGAAGTGCGCCTCCTGCACAGAGCCCTCTGGCACACTACTGTCCCTGTGAGGACATGCGTCTTAGCCAGAACACAGTCAACATTTTCCTAGTAGGGAGGAAAGGGAGTTAGGTCAGGAGGTAGAAAGAGTGAGCTACATTTTCCACTGCTGCACAAAGATGACCACACTTAGGAAAACTGAACAATAATCTTCACTGTTATCTTTCCTTTCAACCAACTCAAAAGAACCTTGGAAAAAACCAGCTCCATTCTCCCACAGCCCGCAAACAGAGTCCTCAATAATTTTCCTATCATGTGTTCAAATTCTGGACTCCATCCTCCACTTAGGGGACGTGCATTTGTATTTTAAATCATAGTAAGTGGAGAGAACAGAGCTTTGCTTCTATTCGTTTACTCTGCTGCCTGTATCTTTGGTTGATTCATTAAACATCCAGTAATTATGGGTCATCACCTAATTGTGGCCCTGATTCAGGCAGTTGTTTCTAAAGAGTCACATTTCGCAAAGTCCAGGAAGGTAACATATGTACCAGGATGACTTTTTATTTCCCAGGAGCTTTACAAAGAAATCTGAATAGAAGTAAAAGTTCAGCTAGTTGGGGTGTTTATAACACTGTTCATGTAAAGTCAGCATGGGGCAGAGAGGGGAGGGGGAAGAAAAGCTAAAAAAAAAATTGATGGTGCTAGTCATATTTACATTAGTTGACTGGATCTCTGTAACACTTTAAGGTCACAATTTTGATAGCTGCTAATAACAGCATTGTCGTCACAGGCATATGGTGAGGATTCAGAGAGACAGTGCATATAAAGTGTTCAATAAACGATTTATCATGTGAGTACTTACTAAAGATTATTACTGTGAAGAGGGCAAACTATTCTAGGGAGGACACAACTCTTTGCTCACTGGTTTTTCACCCACTCTGATTACCACACCAAAAGGTCATTCTGTTTTAACCCAAAGAGGTTTATTATAAAGGGCTCTGTTCATGATTCAGACACTTGAAAAGACAGAACCGAGAAGGCAACGCCGAGACATGGAATCTCCAGAAGAGTGGAGCAGCTATCTGGGAAAAATTAGTAAATCTTGTGTTTTGCTATAGCAGAAGATTTTAAAATAATAATCGTTTTCTAGATTTAAATTATCACCAGTTTATTTTCTCAGGAAGCGAGAAAGCAGCAACAGAGTTAAGACCATACTTTCCTTGAGCCTATTCAATGCTGACTTTAAGTTGGCCAGTTGAAATATCTCTGATCTAAAAAGTTTAACTAATAACAAGGCTGAATATAACTTTTGAATAACACAATCTGCTTTAGATCATACAAGCATTTTTCCTCAAAATACTATCTATGGCTAGGACAACATATAAGAAAGTAAACACTCTAGCATTAATGAAAACATGTTCGTATAAAAATGATCTAAGACATATCTCCCAAAAGCTGAACTTAGTATTTTTCCCATTTTTTATTTTTGCAATGCTCTTTATTTCACAATTCATATTTCAGCTGTATCTCTTCCAATCTGTGCTTGGTTATTGCACAAGGTTAGATTATGAAAAGAAATAAACGTTTATTTTTATTTTAAATTTAAAAATTTTTTTTATTTTGTTGTCATTAATTTACAATTATATGAAGAACATTATGTTTACTAGGCTCCCCCCTTCACCAAGTCCCCCCCACAAACCCCATTACAGTCACTGTCCATCAGCGTAGTAAGATGCTGTAGAATCACTACTTGTCTTCTCTGTGTTGCACAGCCCTCCCCGTGCCTCCCCCCACGTTACACGTGCTAATCGTAATGTCCCCTTTCTTTTTCCCCACCCTTAGCCCTCCCTTCCTACCTATCCTCCCCAGTCCCTTTCCCTTTGGTAACTGTTAGTCTATTCTTGGGTTCTGTGATTGTGCTGCTGTTTTGTTCCTTCAGTTTTCCATTGTTCTTATACTCCACATATGAGTGAAATCATTTGGTACTTGTCTTTCTCTGCCTGGCTTATTTCATTGAGCATAGTACCCTCTAGCTCCATCCATTCTGTTGCAAATGGTAGGGTTTGTTTTCTTCTTATGGCTGAATAATATTCCATTGTGTATATGAACAACATCTTTTTTATCCATTCATCTAATGACGGAAACTTAGGTTGCTTCCATTTCTTGGCTATTGTAAATAGTGCAGCGATAAACATATGGGTGCATCTGTCTTTTTCAAACTGGGCTGCTGCATTCTTAGGGTAAATTCCTAGGAGTGGAATTCCTGGGTCAAATGGTATGTCTATTTTGAGCTTTATGAGGAACCTCCATACTGCTTTCCACAATGGCTGAACTATTTTACATTCCCACCAGCAGTATAGGAGGGTTCCCCTTTCTCCACAACCTCGCCAACATTTGTTGTTGTTTGTTTTTGGGTGATGGTGATTCTTACTGGTGTGAGGTGATATCTCATTGTGGTTTTAATTTGCATCTCTCTGATGACTAGCAATGTGCAGCATCTTTTCATGTGTCTGTTGGCCATCTGAATTTCTTCTTTGGAGAACTGTCTGTTCAGCTCCTCTGCTCATTTTTTAATTGGATAATTTGCTTTTTGTTTGTTGAAGTGCGTGAGTTCTTTATATATTTTGGATGTCAACCCTTTATCGGATCTGTCATTTATGAATATATTCTCCCATACTGTAGGGTACCTTTTTTCTCTATTGATGGTGTCCTTTGCTGTACAGAAGCTTTTCAGCTTGATATAGTCCCACTTAATAAACTTTTTTTTAAAAGCCACACAGTACCCACTGGGGT